TTTTTTCAGTAAAGCTGACTTGTAATAATTTTTTTTTCTATTACTTAATTTTTTTGAATTGAATGATTTGAAAGGCTTTATCAGAAAATCTGTTTTGGAAGTTTGAAAATGCTAGTGCTACATGATTAGATTTTTTTCAACAAATTTGATATAATTTTTTCTTTCCTTAAACCATTGGTATGCTTCTCTTATAATTTTACCACTCATGATATAGATTTTCTACACATATTAGTTTTTAAACTATAGTTGAAAATTTTTGTACATCAAGATTCTACCTTATGAAACGTATTGTAAAAAATTTCTTGTGGCTGCTGCCCAGTATTCGAGGAGTACTATAAGACTATAATCACTGTATTGAACTTCATTTGGGTGTGATTTGAGTTCAAAAAAAAAATTAGAATAAATGTAATATTTTCTTTGCTTAATTCACTGTTTTATTCATTAAAAAATAAGAAAGTTGTAATTACGATTTCACAATACCGCATTTATTAAATTTTGATTGCGTTTTGATTTTTTAATATGGTTTTTTTTTATACTTGGAATAAGATAATGTTGAAAAAGAATTAACTAAAGCCACAAGAAGATACAATTTTTTGTACAAAACAAAATTTTAATTTATTCAATAGATGCTTTGATGTATACACCATTAGATAAAAAATCAAATGTTGTTTTTATTCTTTAAGTTCAATAAATCCTAGATGCCTAGCGATTATGTTAGACCAACTATCAGTGTTCGAGTTTTGTATAATAATACAAATGTTTCTCGTTTGTTTATAGTTTTATTGCGCTGAAAATAAAATTTTCTCAGGAATTCCAACTCAATGGCAAAAATTGTAATATCGAATAATTATTTGTTGTAGGTAGAATAGTCATAGGCTTAAACTGTTATTTTTTATTAATACTATAACATACAACTTTACAATGTTTTTTGCTTCACGGATAAAAAATGTTGGATTCAGGAATTTAAATTGTACATCCTTTTATTCAATGGAAACAAGAAAATGTTTTTTTAAACAAAAAAACTTAGACCTACCTATGGTATTTTTTTGGTTGTTGTGTGATTACAGTGGCAATAGACCTTATAGTGCACCACATCTGGGACATATTGCATTCTAAAAATGGCGATTCCTCATCCGGGCAGCATCCTTACATCGAGCTTAGACGAACGTCAACATCATAATACGATTCCTGTGCAGCAGTCTCTATGATAACTTTATTAGATTAAACCTATTTTTTTTTTTTTTTTTTTTTTTTGTAATTACCAAGGTCCCACCACTTTTTAAGGAGTATTAAAAAATAGAAGAAAAAAAATGAAAAAGAATTTTTAAAAAGATAACTTTACACGTAACAATAACGCATAAAGGAACAGAAGCACACATAGCTATTTTAACCAGACACTCTTTCCTGCAGCATAGTATTTGCACTTACATTTAGTGACTAAATTTCTATATGCAGGATTGATAGGGACTTTGAAGTAAAAAAGAGTATACACTTTTTATTGTACGTATATTTGCGTAGATATGGGAAGTTTACAATTAAGGAATAAGGTCGCAAATTAAGAAAAGCGTAGCTAAACTTTTGAATTGCTGACAGTTTTTGCAAGGTTTATTTGAAATTCTACATACAATTTATATTAAATAACAGTTTTTTGAGATTTTTCTTAATTTGTTCAAAAATATATTTTATCTTAAAATAATACAACTCGAGCTTTTTCTTTGCATTAAGTCGCATTTAATTATGTAAAATGTTTTTATTACATGTAAGTTATCGCCGAATAATTGTATTTTTATTAAAAGAGCGCATAATTCTACTGTGAATTGTTTTATAGACATAAGAGAAAAACATTGCAACTTTTTATACATTACAATTTCATATCCTGAGCATAATTAAGTATATTGGAGATAATCAATGTATTTCTTGGGTCTCCGTTAAAAACACAACATAATTTTTTTATTCATATTTTGTAAATATTTTATAACTTTTATAATAGACGAAATTTGTTAATTGGTTCTGATCTCTTAGAATGAAGCATAATAATTACATTTATAGATTTTTCCATGTGTATGCTTTTAACTTAGTTTATCTAAAATGATAGAACTTTTTAAACTGTTGTTTAGTTACGTAAGTCAAAACCATACTTGTAGGCTTTACTTTACTGCAATTGCATAATTGTGTGTCTTTATGTTGAATTATAAAAGAGACAGTTAGTATTGTAGTATAAGTGTGTACAACTAGTTCAAGTGCATGTAATAAAAAGGGATACCTGGAATTTGTAACAAAAATTTATAAATATACCTTTTCATTGATGAATATATTTATTAAGTAATTAAATGAGTCTTCTTTTTTTCCGTTTTGTTTCAGTGGCCATTGATTTAATTGTCCAGCACATAAAAGATTTTCTAAGCAACCGCGGTAGGGAAATTATGGAACCTGAAAGTCCTATACGTTCTGATGGAACATTGAAGAGACCACATTGATGTTGCTATAAAAAAAAAAATGTTTAAATGCGCAAAAGCTTACATAGAACGATTGAAGAAAAAAAAA